TCACGTCTCTGGACAGGGTGGACCCGGCTCCCGTGACATGAGCACGGCGGGGTCACCTCCCCTCCCCTGGCAGCAGTGGCGCCTTCTGCACTCATAAGCACTGTGCCTGGGGGACAGGCTCCCGGCCCAAAGGGTGCTAAGTGACCTAAGCACATGCCAGCCCGCACACTCTGAGGGACCCGAGTGATTCGCTCTGGAGGCCAGGACGTGTGTTCAACGCTGAGACTGAGAGAGCCCTTCCCGCAGAACACCCGGGCTTGGAGAGGGAACGCGAATCTCTAAAAGTAGGAGTCTGGGGTGGTGGCGAGACAGGAAATGGATGCCCGTGGGGTACAGGGTGTGTCTGCCTCCTCTGCTCACAAGGCAAAACCAGCTCCACACAGCCGCCCGGACCCCGGCCTAGCCTGGCCCTGGGCACAGGCGCTCAGGACACTGCAGCCCGGGCAGCTGCTCCGGTAGCGGTGGGTAGGAGCCGGGTCTCAGACCCTGGCCCTGCCCCCTGAGGAGCCACTGGTGGTTTCGAAGTCGTGGACATGCCCACACCCCACCCCCACTGACCGCAGTGCTCGATGCCACCCCGGCCCTCACCATCCTGTCTCCCCTGAGCTCTCACCTGTGACTCAGCAGGCCCTGCACACGCAGCGACATTGTCAGCTCTCTCACACCCAACTGAGCGCCCGTGTCGTGACACCTAGCAAAACTGAGGTGTGGCTGGGGGAGGCCTGCGAGGTCCCTGGGCCCTCCCCACTTTCAGGGGGGCTTTGGCATCTGCTGGGAATAAAGCCTGGCAGCTCTGACCTGGGTCTGCCTCAGAGACATGCAGCCACTCTTGCTCTTGCTGGCCTTTCTTCTGACTCCCAGGGCGGGGACAGGTGAGTGACCACCCCACACTGGGGCTTGATTCCCCTCACAGGGCCCCGGTCCTCCTGACTGTGCCCAGCACGTTCAGGGACCAAGCTCGATTTGGGCCCTGGAACTTTCTGAGTGTCCCTTGGACCCAGCCTAGGAGTCCCAAGCTGCATCCTGGGGACGGCAGGAAGGAGGCTGTTCACTCAGAGAGTTTGTGGGTGCGAGTGGTCTCCCTGCCTGCAGCATGGGCTGCCGTAGAGAGGCCATGGGCCACAGAGAGCCTCAGAAACAAAGCATTGAGTCCCAAGCTTCAGGGCAGTACAGGGCAGGGCATGGCAGCCAGTGGGGCTGAGGCTGCGGTGGGGCAGTGGCTAGACTCAGCTCAGGGCCTGTTAGCTTTCTCAGGCCTC